TTAAGGCACTGCTCCATTTTCCCTCCAGACTAACCCAATGTCCTTGTTTCATTTGCTTGTTTTCTGAGTCCCGAATTGCTTCTCCTGTCTTTGAATTTTTGTTATGGTTTGTTTGTTCTTTTGCTGTTGGTTGTCTTTGTCTCTCTTGCTTAAATCTGTTTCAACTATCTAGTGATCTTTTGTTGTTCATTCATATTTTAAAATAAGGCTCTAAAACACTGAAAGATTGTGTGCCAGACTTTCACCTGGTGAGCTTCACTGTGGAATGATGAAGCATATATGTTAAAACTTTCTAATTTTCTATATAGCTACTTTTTCCAGGGAAAAAAATCTTGAATCTTCTGGTTGGTGGGTGCTAGGGAATAAAGCTGTCACCCTTCTGGTTTTCAGCTTTTTGGGCATGGAGAAACTCAAGAGAATGAGTGGAAGGTCATCCTGCACCATATGGACTTTGTCATTCTATATAGTATGATGCTTCTGCTTTGCCTACCACTGTGCTTGTCCCTGAATTGGAACCTGTCTTTTCAATTTATAGATCAAGCCTCCAGTCTTTGCTTTGGGCACTGGAGATAATCAGCATGTTATATCAAAGAAAATAAGAGTCAGATACTTCTGCATAGGAAAAGATATTGGGAAAAAAAAAGAATATTTAACAGCTAAATACAGCAGATTGAACATATGGCACTTATTTCTGTTGCCTCTAGAAACTCTGCTAAAATGAGAATAAAATTCTTGAAATGAATAAATACAGTAAAGGGAGAACATGGACAGTGATGAAGCAGTCAGAGTTCTGGCAGAAAACTAGTTGGCACACCCAAAGGAGAACTGAATAGAATTTAAAAAGGAAACTATTTACAAAGGTGTGGGCAGGATTAAAAGAACCAGTAAGGGACGGTGAAGTACATTGGGGGGCTATCACCATCTTTATGCCTGGAGGGGCATGTGGAAAGTGGACTTTTTATGTTAGCTCACAGATTAAGTCTCAATAGATTTTAAAAGATTGATATCATACAAAGTATCTTCTCTATTATAGCTTTATCACAAATAAAACTGGAAAATTCACAAATTTGAGGAAATCAAATAATATACTTTTAACAACCAAGAGATCAAAGAAGAAATAACGAGGGAAATTAGAAAGTACTCAGAAAAGAATGAAAATAAAAAAAAACATACCAAAACTTACAGGTGTAGTGAAAGCATTGCTAAAGGACGGGGCGAGGCGGGGGGTACAATTTAAGGAACTAGAAAAAGAAGAACTGAACTCAAAGTTAGCAGGAAAAAGGAAACAACAAAGATAAGGGCTTCCCTGATGGTTCAGATGGTAAAGAATCTGTCTGCTAGTACAGGAGATGTAAGTTAGATCCCTGATACGAGACGATCCCACATACCACAGAGGGGCTAAGCCCGTGCACCACAACTATTGAGCCTGTGCCCTAGAGGCCAGGAGTCACAACTACGGAGCCCACCTACCACAACTCCTGAAGCCCACATGCCCTAGAGCCTGTGCTCAGCAACAAGAGAAGCCACTGCAATGAGAAGCCCTCACACTGCCACTAGAGAATAGCCCTGGCTCACTGCAACTAGAAAAAAGCCTGTGCAGTAACAAAGATCCAGCACAGCCAAAAATAAATAAATAAACTTTAAAAAAGAAATAAAAATGGAAATATTACTAATTCTACAGAAATAAAAGGGATTGTAACAGAACACTATGAACCACTGTATGCCAATAATTTGGATCAGTTAGTCAATCAGTTCAGTTGCTCAGTCATGTCTGACTCTGTGACTCCACGGTCTGCAGCATGCCAGGCTTCCCTGTCTATCACCAACTCCCAGAGCTTGCTCAAACTCATATTCATTGAGTCAGACATAATATAATTTGTATAATCTAAATTAAATGGACAAATTCCTATAAACACAAACTGAACCAAGAGTAAATCACAAAGAAATAGAAAAACCTGAATAAACCCATAACTAATAAGGATGTTGATTTAGTAATCAAATATATGACAAAATCCCTAGACCTGATGACTTCATTGGTTAATTCTATAAAACATTTAAAGAAGAATTAATGCCAATATTCCTCAAACTTTTCCCAAAAACTGAATGAAGGGAAACTTCCTAACTCATTCTATGAGGTCAGCATTACCCAGATACCAAAGTCAGACACTGCAAGCAAAAACAGCAGACCAACATCCCTTATGAATGGATGCAAATATTCTCAACAAAACACTAGTAAACCAAATTCAGCAGAATATCAAAAGGATTATATACCACGACTAAGTGGAATTCATTCCTGGAATCCAAAGATGATTCAACATGTGAAAATCAATGTAACATACTACATTAACAGAATGAAGAAAAGCCACATAAACACTTCAACTGATGCAGAAAAAGCATTTGACAAAATTGAACACCATTTCATGATAAAAACGCTCAAAAAACTAAGAACAGAAGACAACAAATTCATATAATTACCACATACGAAAACACATAGTGAAAATCATACTTAATGGTGAAAGTCTGAATACTTCCCTCAAAGATTAGGAAAAAGACAAAAACACCTGCTTTTGCCACCTCTGTTCAACACAGTGCTGGAAGATCTAGCAGATAAATTAGGCAAGAAGAACAAACAAAAGGCAGTCATATTGGAAAGGAAGAAGTAAAATTATCTCTTTGCAGATGATATGATCTCATATGTAGAAACCCTAAAGACTCCACAAAGAAACTGTTGTAACAAACAAATTCAACACAGTGGCAGGATTTAGTGTCAACACACAAAAATCACTTGCATTTCTATATACTACAATGAACAATCTGAAAAAAAATACACAAGCAGTCCCATTTACGACAGCATCAGAAAGAATAAAATACTTAGAAACTCACTTAACCAAGGAGGTGAAAGGCTTGTAACAATACATGAAAACCACAAAACATTGCCGAAGGAAATTAAAGATATAAATAAATGGAAATAACCTATGTCCATGGATTGATAGACTTAATATTGCTAAAATGTCAATAATACCTAAAGTAATCTACAGATTCAGTGCAATCCCTATCAAAATCCCAATGACACTTTTCAAAAAATAGAAAAATTCATCCTAAAATTCATATGATGCCTCAAAGGACATTGCAAAGCCAAAGAAAATCTTGAAAAAGAAGAAAAAAGCTGAAAGAGCCACAACTTCTGATTTCAAAACATGTTGTAAAGCTACAGTAATCAAACTCATGTGATATTGCATAAAGACAAACATAGAGACCAATGGAATTAAATAAAACCTAGGGAAAAAAATCCTCACTTATATGATCAAGTAATTTTTGACAAGGGTGCCAAGACAATTCAATGAGGAAAATACAGTCTTTTCAACAAATTGTGCTGAGAAACCTGGATACCCACATGCAGAAAGAATAAAGTTGAAACATTACCTAATCCCATATATAAAAATTAACTCAAAATGAATGAAAGACATAAGGTGTAAGACTCCAAACTAAAAACCCTTAAAAGGAAACAGCTAGAAGCTTTACAATAGTGAATTTGGCAATGATTTATTGGCTATGACACCACCAAAGGCAACAAAATAAAAAAACAGGCAAACTAGACTTTCTGAAAATTTTTAAATGTTGTGTATCAAAAGACATATGAACACAGTTAAAAGGTAACCCACAGTTGGACTTCCCTGCCAGTTCAGTGGTTAAGACTCTGCACTTCCACTGCAAGGGGCATGGGTTCAAACCCTGGTAAGGGAACTAAGATCCCAAATGCCATTCAGTGCAACTATGAAAAAAAAAAAGGCAACTCACAGAATGAGGGAAATTTTACAAAACTACATCTGATAAATGATTACTATCCAGAATATACAGAGAACTCCTATAACTCAACAACAAAACCCCAATTCAAAAATGGGAAAAGGCCTTGAGTAGACATTTCTCAAAGAAGATATACAAATGGTCAATGACATGAAAAGATGCTCAATATCACTAATCAGTAGGAAAATGAAATTGAAATCCACTGAGATACCACCTCATATCCACTAGGATGGTAACTAACAAAAAAGAGAAAATGACCAGCACTGGCCAGGATGAGGGAGTATAAAATGGTGCAGTAAAAACAGTCTAACAAAAAGTTAAACTAGAATTACCTCCAAGACAGTATAGTTCTATTTTTAGTCATATACTCAACAGTATTGAAAATAGGGACTCAAGCAGATACTAGCATGCCACTGTTCATTGCAGTACTATTCACAATAACTGCGAGATGGAAATAACCTAAATATCCCTCAATAAATGAAAGGATAAATGAACCGTGATATAAATACAGTGGGTATTCCTTATCCATGGAAAGGAATGGGGTTCTGATACATGCTACAGCATGAAAGAACCTTGAAAACACTATGCTAAGTAAAATAAGTCAGACACAAAAGGAAAAATGCTGAATGATTCCACTTGTATGAAATGTCTAGAATAAGCAAATTCATAGAGACAGAAAGTAGACTAGAAATTACCAGGGTATAGGAGGAATGGGACTGGATGCCACGATCTTAGCTTCCTGAATGTCGAGTTTTAAGCCAACAGTTTCACCCTTCTCTTTCACTTTCATCAAGAGGCTCTTTAGTTCTTCGCTTTCTGCCATAAGGGTGGTGTCACCTGCATATCTGAGGTTATTGATATTTCTTCCAGCAATCTTTTTTTTTTTTTTTGATGGCTAACTAAGGACTTTATTTCAAACAAAAATTAAAAAATTGAGAGCTGTCTCCCTGGGTGTGGGGAAGGAATCAGGGCAAGGAATTCCCCGAGGCTAGGCCAGTACCCTCAGACTGGAGGGGCTGTGATCACTCCCTTCCTCACTTCTGGGATGGGGGACCTCAGCAAGTGCAGGACATTATGCCAAAGCCCACCTACCCAGGGGAACTCGGGCTAGGGCTCAGTCCCTGGGAGGGGACAGTCAGGCAGCAGCATGGCCAAAGGCCAATCACAGGATTTAGTCCCAAGTACCAAGAACCTACTCTCTTCTCCTTCCTGGGGCCCAGAATACATGAAGAGGATGGCCTGTGGAAAGAACCTCTCGGACCCTGGTGAGGAGAAGCGAGGCCCCAGCGCCCCCCACATTTATCACTTCTGTTCTCTGGAGGGCAGTGAGTCCTGGAGTCCATCTGGTGGTAATACTGACACAGCTGGGGTGGTGGCAAGGAAGCCCCAGTCAGTCTGGACCCCACAGCTGGCTCTCCCCACCTGCCCTGGCAAGTTCTACGGTTACCACATGATCCTTTGTATTTCTTGCCTTCCATTTCCCTTGGTGGATGGCTGGGTGGCTGGGGCTTCCTGGCTTAGGGTTTCTCCAAGGGCCTTCCCAGGGAGGGTCCCCTGAACCCCCCCATTGCGCTGGGGCCTGAGGAGGAGGGTGTCACATGATGCCGTTGGTGAGGTACTGGAAGCCATCATAGAGTTTGGTGGTGATAGACCGCATACTGCTGTCCACCATCTGCTCCACCAGCAGCTGGAGCTGCTCCTCAGTCATGCTCATGTGGAACCTCTCCTTGAGGTTGCGGATGGTACTGGAGCCATGGAAGCAAGGAAGCTGAGAACCTTGCTGCATGATCTCTACGATCTGCACCACCTTATCCATGTGTTTCCGAGCAGCAATCAGCCCCTGCAGCATCAACATCTTGTAATAGTTGAACATGTCGCCATCCAGGCCGCCCATCACGTCCACAAACTCTGTGGTCAGCTTAAAGGCTGATGTCTCAAAGCCCAGGTTTCGGGGTGAGCTGGATAGGATGAAGCCAAAGTCGATGTGGATGATGTGGCCTTCTGCGTCCAATAGGATGTTCCCATTGTGTCTGTCCTTGACCTGTAGCAGGTAGCAGACCAAGCAGTAGCCAGCACAACTCTGCACAAAATTGCGCTGGGCACTGAGGAATGCCTCAGTGGTGTAACTGCCATGCTCCTGTAGGAGGTAATCGAGCAGGGAGAGCTGAGACTGCTTCTTCACCTGGTGTATGGATACAGCGTTGACCACTGGTTCAATCATGCCACTGTCGGCCGAAATCACAAGAATCTTATATGGCTTAATCCACAGGGGTACTCGCTCCTGTTCCCAAATGGACTGCAGTTGCTTTAGCACCTGGAAGGCCAACAGCTTCTGCCGAAGATCATCCCCACACTTGACAATGACAGGAGCCGCCAATTGGGGAGATGGCCATAGGGGGATCCCTCTCTAATGCGCCGCACTTTCTCCTGCCAGGGCTCTTTAAGAGCAACTGCAGAAGGGTCTTCTGGGTCTCATTTGAAGGCTGTGGGGGTGTGAGCCAGCTGCTCCGAAAGGCGCCTTCGGATGTCACCTGCTGCAATGAACACAGGCTCCTTGCTTTCCTGGCTGGTGATGCTGTCCACGGAGAACTGGGAGATGTTGTCACAGCTGTTGGTGTGCACTTCAGGGAGCTGGGGAGAGCAGGGCACTGCCGGTTCAGAAGTGCTAAGCACAGGNGCACAGTGCTGAAGCTGCCTGCCCGCTGCTCGTGGGTGATGCTGCATTCGGGCAGGTTCTCTACAGACCGGGTGCTCCGAATTCGGTTCTCGGGGATCCGGGCAGGGACACTAGTGGTGTCGAAGTTTTCACATTCGAGGACTTCCACATAGATCAGGTAGGGAGCCTTGTCCTTAGAGTTGAGGACGACAGCCTGGGTGTGGGGCACGCGGACCACGTGGTGGTCAAAGCCGGCAGTGGGCAGCCAGACTCGGGCGGGGAGCTTGTGGTTGAGCAGGGAGAGCTCTGAGATCAGCCGCTGTGTCTTCTGCTCCTTGGTGGGGAGCGTGGCCAGCTGCTTGCCAATTGCCATCAGGGACTTGATGAATTCTCGCTCAGGAGCCAGTCTGACGGGGGAACTGAATGAATTATCAATACTCTCGGTGCTGGAGGAGAGCTCCTCATCCTCATTCTCCACTTTAGGGTTGCTGGCTGTTCGTTTCAGGTTGCTGCTGAGACTTATGCTGGCAGTGGCATCTGACTTGGAGCGCTGGTGAGTCCTTTTAGAGGGAGACAGCCCTTTGTCGGGGGCTGGGCTCAGGGAGGGCAGCTCCCTCTTTCGGTGAGCAGGCTTCAGCTCATCTGAGAGGATCAGCTTCCGCAGCTTGGTCCCACGGGAGTGTCGCTGAGTGGAAATGTGCATGTCTGAAGAGTAGGCCCGCAGCAACAGAGCACACTGGAGGGAAAAGTTAATGCTCTGGCGGCAGCGGTGGACTATGTAGGGCTTGATGGCATCACCCACATCCTCATCCATGTGAATGTACATGTTAAGCAACTGGGGCAGATAGAAGTCCACATCCTCATTACGAAAGCAGAAGAGCCGGTTGCTGATGTAGGCCTGCACCCCAGGCTCCTTGGAGTTATACAGGTATGAAATGGCCATAGAGATGTCAAACAGTTTCGACTCAAACAGCCTCAGCAGCCAAGACTGTTTGGCCGAGTTGTTCTGCCGCCGCTTTCTTGCTCCCTTGGCTGTGCCTGAGGCCACTGTGGCCCCCATCTCATCTTCCTCCTCCCTTATCTGGGCAGGTGGGTCGTCCAGGCAACGGATCTCGCTGTCCACACCATCCCCATTGACCAGCTCCAGTTGGGTGCCTCTGCTAGAGATGGCCACGCCTCCATGCAAGAGCTTGACTTTCTCCAGCACCTCCTGGCAGGCCTTCTGGGCCACCTCAGGGTCAATCACCGAGAGCTCCCCGACCCCCTCCGTGATGACACTTAGCAAGGAGCCCCCATTATTCCCTGGTGGGCCAGAAGCAGGCTCAGAAGTTGGCTTCAGGGGGGCAGGCTCCACTACCGTGTCTCCCATGGCCACAGCCAGACTTTGAGCTTCCAAGCTTCTCTTTTAGACTCAAAGCACCCAAAAAATAATGGCCAGCAAACACCACACCAGGTTTTACCGCAAAGAAAATAGCTCAGAAACAACCATCGTCAACCCTGCTGAGGTGGGCCATTTCTCTGCTTGTCTGAGCACATGACATCGTGCTCCCTTCCTCCAGTGCTGTGGCAGCTCCGGGGGACCCCGGCGGAGGGGGTGCGGGCTGTCGGGGTCGGGCTACCGACACCGCCGCCTCAGCAGCAGCGGCCGCTCCCGGGTTCCATTGGCCGCCTGCGCTTCCCTGACAGCGGCCACGGCGGCTGCCTCTTCCAGCAATCTTGATTCCAGCTTGTGCTTCATCCAGCCCAGCGTTTCTCATGATGTACTCTGCATGTAAGTTAAATAAGCAGGGTAACAATATACAGCCTTGATGTACTCCTTTCCCGATTTGGCACTAGTCTGTTATTCCATGTCCAGTTCTAACTGTTGCTTCTTGACCTGCATGCAGATTTCTCAGAAGGCAGGTCAGATGGTCTGGTATTCCCATCTCTTTAAGAATTTTCCACAGTTTATTGTGATCCACACAGAATGGCAAATAGATGGAAAAACAATGGAAACAGGGAGAGACTTTATTTGGCTGGGGGGCTCCAAAACCACTGCAGATGGTGACTGCAGCCATGAAATTAAAAGATGCTTGCTCCTTGGAAGAAAAGTTATAACCAGCCTAGACAGCATATTAAAAAGCAGAGACATTACTTTGCCAACAAAGGTCCATCTAGTCAACGCTAGGGTTTCTCCAGTGGTCATGTATGGATGTGAGAGTTGGACTATAAAGAAAGCTGAGCACAGAAGAATTGATGCTTTTGAACCGTGGTGTTGGAAAAGACTTGAGAGTCCTTTGAACTGCAAAGAGATCCAACCAGTCCATCCTAAAGGAAATCAGTCCTGAATATTCATTGGAATATCTGATACTAAAGCTGAAAGTCCAATACTTTGGCTACCTGATATGAAGAACCGACTGATTGGAAAAGACGCTGATGCTGGGAAAGACTGAAGGCAGGAGGAGAAGGGGATGACAGAGGATGAGATGGTTGGATCGCATCACCGACTCCATGGACATGAGTTTGAGTAAGCTCTGGGAGTTGGTGATGGACAGGAAAGTGTGGCGTGCTGCAGTCCATGGGGTTGCAAAAAGTTGGACATGACTGAGCAACTGAACTGAATTTAGGGAGGATGGGGAGGATAAGGAGTTACTGCTTAATGGGTACAGAGTTTCTGACTGAGGTAATGAGAAAGTTTTGAAAATAGATTGTGGGGGTGACTGCACAACACTGAGAATGTAATTAATGCCACTGAACTGTACTTAGAAAATGGTTAAAATGGCAAGCATTATGTTATACATATTTTACCATGATGAAAGTAAAAACCTATGAAAGAAAGTAAGAAAGTGAAATCACTCAGTTGTGTCTGACTCTTTACGACCCCATGGACTGTAGCCTACCAGGTTCCTCTGTCCATAGGATTATCCAGGCAAGAATACTGGAGTAGGATGCCATTTCCTTCTCTAGGAGATCTTCCTGACCAAGGATTGAACCCAGGTCTCCCACATTGTTGGCAGACTCTTTACGTCTGAGCCACCAGGCAAGTCCCCTGGCAGGTTGGTATAAACCCGACAGGGTTTCTGCCATAAACCATATGCTGCGGCTGCTAAGTAGCTTCAGTCGTGTCCGACTCTGTACAACCGCATAGACAGCAGCCCACCAGGCTCCCCCGTCCCTGGGATTCTCTGGGCAAGAGCACTGGAGTGGGTTGCCATTTCCTTCTCTAGCGCATGAAAGTGAAAAGTGAAAGTGAAGTCCATATGAGGTCACCACAAAACACAGAGCAGGGCTCCTCACTTGCTTCACGCAGGGCGTGTCATTTACTCACACAAGCATGCTGTAGAGTTAGTAAGTATGGCAGAAAACATGTTTGTTAGGAGAACAAAGAACTGGAGCTCCAAGCCTCCTTACCTTAACCTATGGGAAATAGAAAAAAGGGTGAAATTAAGGTCTCCATGCATTATTTATTTTCCCAAGTCTACTGCCTTTCTCCAGATTAATAATTAAATATTTGCTTAGAACTGCTCTGGTGGTTCAGACTGTAAAGAATCCGCCTGAATGCGGGAGACCTGGGTTCAGCCGCTGGGTTGGGAAGACCCTCTGGCGGAGGGCATGGCAACCCGCTCCAGTATTCTTGCCTGGAGAATCCCATGGACAGAGGAGACTTGCAGGCTGCAGTGCATGGGGTCTCAAAGAGTTGGACACGACTGAGTGACTAAGCAGAGGGCATGCCATTATTTATTATCCCAAGTCTACTGCCTTTCTCCAGATTAATAATTAAATATTTGCTTAGAACTGTAGTTTACAAGACTTACATAGGAGTTGGTTGTAAAATATTCTGGCAATACCATACTTGTTTGGGAAACTCTGGCATACAAGGTAGTTTCTTAAAGTACAGTCTGAGGATCACCAACATCAGAATACCTTAGGATGCTGATAAAAATGCAGATTCTTGGCTCCAACCAAGATCTACCAAAATAGAATTTTTAGAGTAAAGCTTATGAACCTGCATTTTAACTATCCTTTCAAAGAGAAACTATGGTTAGATTTTAGGCAATCGTATTTATGCACAGTGAGGCTTCCTAAATTTGGAGAGAAGGCCTGTGCCTGATAGCTCCCTGGAATTTTGGATAGAAGAAATTTTGAAGACTTCAAGACTTCAAGAAGTTCAAGATAGAACACTTGAAAGACTTGGGCTAAATTAACCCAACTTCGGAGTTGCTGAAGGAGTGAATAAGACTTCTTTATCTAGACTGAAGAGAATAAAATTTTAAAAGGGAAAAGGTAACTATTTTCTACATATTTGAGATTTATATTCAAGAGCTTGAATAACAGAAAGGTGTTGGCTGTGTTCTGTTTTCATGGTGAAAAAACTGTCATGCAATAGAATTATACTGTGCTCATTGTGCATGCAACTCTGAGTCTGATTATGGCATCATACAGCATAATTTTAAATGAGACACAGAATAGGGGAATGCCTTCTTATGTAGTGTATAGCACTGATTTTCAAACCACAGTGTGCATTAGAATTGCCTCACCTTCCTCATGCCCCTCCCACCCCAGAAATTCTGATTCAGAAGGCTTAAAGCAGGACCCAGAAGTCTTCATTAAAAAATAAATACATAAATAACTCTAGGATATTCTTATGCAGATGGCCCATACTTGGAAAAACACTTGAGTTGCACTTGATATGTCTTGAAATAGCTCTCTGGCTTCCTGGGTAGAACATTAACAGAACACTTGTAAAAGGACTGAACTACCCATTTCATGAGTCCTAAGCAGTGAGCTAGCAAGGACTGAAGAATCAGCAACACGTAGGTAGAGGCTGGACACTTCTGATACTTGGTTAAGCTCCTTGGAGAGAGAAAGCAACACTCTAGTCTTCCTGACTTTAACAGCAAAACAGTAGCAGTAACAATAAACCCATCCCCAACCCCGCCACCACACACACAAATTTGCCATCAGTGGTGGATGCACACTTTACCCACTAGGGGGAGCCCAAGGATTTCCACATACAAGCTTCATCCCCTGGGGGAGGAAATCTGATACAGGCCAAGGACATTTGGGGACTTTATTGCTAAGGAAGGAGCAAAGAATGAAAGGATCTAAAAGGCTAAAAGCCCTTGCTTACATGCAGAATGTCCTTTCTTTCATGCAGAATGTCCTTTCTTTCTGGCTGCCATTCAAATCTTTGCATCTTAAAAAGTAGTGCTCTGAGGCAGCCTAGGCCAGATTTGCCAGGATTGTTAAAGAAGAAATTATTCTAACAATACCACACTGTATACTTCAAAGTTGCAAAGTTCAAAGTTCTCAGTACTCATTCCCCCACCCCCCCCAAAAGGTACTGTGTGAAATTAACCTTATTGTGGTAATCATTTCACAATGTATTCGTGAATCAAATCACTATGTTGTACACCTTAAACCTGCACAATGGAAAATGCCATTTGTATTTCAATAAAGTTGGAAAAAGAACAAGTTATTCTGACACTTTTTTTAAATGGTAAGGAAAACTTTATTCAAGACTATCGCAGCAGATGTCAAGATTATCTCAATGGGGAGAGAGATCAGGCTCAACTCTGAATATAGTACAAATGCGGATTCACAGCCAAGGAGCAGAAAGGGGAGATCAGTGGATAGAAAACTCAGTGGATGGAAATTAAAAGGAGAAATCAAATGTAGGGATCTTGGTAAACTGACTTAGCAGGATTCTGTCTGAAAGCTGGCCAAGGACTCAGGAACATCAAAGGTAAGGGGTGAAGAATTTGATCATATATTGAGAGTTATCAGGTATTAAAGAGACTTGAGAGTCTGAACTAATCTGTCAGGATTTTTGTGAAAACTAGGCTATGCAGGTCTGGGCCTATTTGCTGCTGTTGTTCAGTCCTTTAGTTGTGTACAACTTCTTGCAACCCCATGAATTGCAGCATGCCAGGCGTCCCTGTCCTTCACTATCTCCCAGAGTTTGCTCAAACTCATGTCCATTGAGTCAATGATGCCATCCAACCATCTCATCCTCTCTTGTCCCCTTCTTTTCCTGCCTTCAATCTTTCCCAGCATCAGGGTCTTTTCCAATGAATAGGCTCTTCATATCAGGTGGCCAAAGTTTCGGAGCCTCAGCATCAGTCCTTCCAAAGAATATTCAGGGTTGATTTCCTTTAGAGTTGACTGGTTTGATTTCCTTGCAGCCCAAAAGACTCTCAAGAGTCTTCTCCAGCACCATAGTTCACAAGCATCGATTCTTTGGTGCTCAGCATTCTTTCTGATTCAACTCTCACATCCATACATGACCAATGGAAAAACCATAGCTTTGACTATGTGGACCTTTGTTGGTATGTGATGTCTCTGCTTTTTAATATGCTGTCTAGGTTTGTCATAGATTTTCTTCCAAGGAGCAAACATCTAATTTTATGGCTGCAGTCACCATCTGCAGTTACTTTGGAGCATAAGAAAATAAAGTCTG